GTGTTTGAGGAGAGTTACATAGTTCAAAACATATGCTTTCACAGTACCTGTCTGAACAGTGATCCAACTTAAATATCTGTATCAGGAAGCTGGCTTCACTATGTATTCAACAGAGACAGATATTTCTTCTTCCTTCCATTGATTTCAGTTAAATAGTTGAAGCGAGTTACAACAATATGTCCTCAGAAGCAGCAATCCAAAAGCCTTTCTCCACCTGCAGAAAAGCCACACAGAGCTTAGACCACAAGTTGCAGTGATGGAACTTCTCTGGACACTTTTTCCTTGGTTTCGTTTGGGCTCCAGGGTCTAGAATTCCTTCCTTTCCCCAAACCTGTGTTATGTACCTAAAGACATCCTTTCCAAGAGCTTTACATTTGCCAGCTGCTGCTGGCTTTTAAACACAGCTGGCAGAGGAAGGTGTGTGGCAGGCCCTGCTCTCCATCAAGTTCCTGAGTGACTGTCAGTCTCAGCCTCCACATGTACAAACTACCTTTTTGTCAAAGGAATGGCCTCTGATTTCTGTAAAGGCAGATGTGATTTGTGCTGAGAAAGAGGGAGCCTGACTCTGCAACCTACTGCACAGGGCCTGTATCTATGAGGGAGGAGGTTTTGTCTCTACTGCCGTGTTTTACCTATTTCAATAAAAAGTGAGGAAGAAGGACTCCACTTTCTGTAAGGCGCATGCCTCAGCCAGCAGGTGACAGAACCAGTGGTCCCCTCACATCTGGTCTGGCCCTATGAATGTTCTGTTTTCTGCTGCTTACAGAAACACAGGCATCATCTGCTTAAACACTTTAAGTTAGGCAACCTTTCTGAAACAAGCCTTAAATAAGCAATTTTCAGGATGACAATTGTTTCTCAACAGCTAAAGCTTTCTATTCAGTCCAAAGGCAGTAGCATTCAGATTCTGATCTGGATGACCAGCTAACATGAACCACCAAATATGTTTGTGTATATTCTCAAGTCCCTACAGTCATGATGTAACCAATGTTTTCAAATACCCTTATAATGCTATCAGAGTAAATAAGGAAAAGGGAACACATCTCCTCATGGCAGAGGAGTTGGAACTAGCTGCTCTTCAAAGTTCCTTCCAACCCAAAATTTTGTATGATTCTACAATTACATGACATTTTCATAATTTTACCTTTATAAATGCAAATGTATTTTATAAAGTCAAGTAATACAGTAAAATACATAACTGTCAATTAGCCATTTTTAGCAAATGAAATATGAAAGGGACAAATAGGATACTATAGTGTATCTGTATATAGAATATCAATATGTATTAGTATATATCAAGTGGATTCATACTGATTTATGTTATGTGTTAGTTGACAAAATACACTTTTATATAATTATTTATGAGTGTTTAAAACTGTAGTAAATACTAATGCTGATGTAAAGCAAAGAAAGAGTTAGACCTTCAGCTCTGCAAATTCCAACAGATTCTTCCCATAACACTAAGCTTATCCACAGCCTAACTATTTATGGTGCAACATTTTTGCCTTCACATTAAATTAAGCACCATGATTGTAACTTAGAAAGGAAAACAGAATTAAAAAGGCTATTGAAGTATTGTATGAGTGAGTTAACAGTATTGTAAGAACTCTGGCTTCTGGAATTTCCTGAGTTTTGAGTGCCTGACTTTATGACTTGGTACTGCACCAAAACTAAAACCTTCTTTATAAAGAAAAGAGGCAACAAAACCCAGCATATTTTCTTTGGGATTGTTCTACATGCTTTTGACTTCCTCAGTGCATCTTATAAATTGCCTAAGCACAACCTTACACCTCTGTCTAACATTGGCTAAACAGAGAGATAATAAGGAGGCCTCAGCAAACAATCTGTCATACACCATATTGCAGAGCACAGTGTTCTCCAGCTAGCTAGACCCACTACTTTTCAACTACTTTCCATCTGCTGCTCTCTCTAATCCTCATGCATTAGGGCATGCCAGTCTGCTCTCTAAATCTTAGTAGCTCTTTGCTCCTATAAAATTCAGACTTAAAATGCCTTAAAAATGTGACATGCAAAAGTAGATGTATGGCTTTATGGATCTGGACAAGGAATTTATACTTACTGTTCTTACCTTTCTATTCACTCTTGCCTCTTATCTGTTTAGACATAAGCTTTCCACTGCAAGAGCTCTGTGCACACTTCTGATTAATGCTAAAGCATAAGGCTACTTCAGAGTTGGTGCACAGACTATAGGTGTCATAATCTCCTGAAACACAAACCCTACCAGCTGTGTACCTTATCCTAAGAGCTTCCTTGGCTTTCAAGATACTGAGAGGCAATGCATGCAAGCCCCACATACTGTTATTTATTTCTCTGCTTAACAAGGAAGGAGGCCCAATACAGACTCCTACAGTGCAAGAAAAAAAAAGGGGGTTTAGTTTATGGCCAGACTAACACACATTTAGTCTTGCCAAGGACGTCTGTGTGAACACAGCTTATATGCTTGCCATGCACCTTACAGAAAGGAGCCCCAGCTGCTGTAGCTCAACAATGAATCATGAACACAGTAAGAAGCGAGGTGGGATTGGAATTTTTTTTATGGATTAATAGACAGCAAAAAATCTGCTTGCCCTTCTTATTTTTTTAACTTTTGGGTTTTTTTTTTACTTTATCAAATAGTTTCTGTTGGACCTCATACATATACAGCTCAGACAGACAACCAAAGAAAACATTGTTACTGCTGTTTCAATATATATTGAAGTCAATCTGTAAACTGGTTTAAAAAGTGTTCAAGAGATTCTCTCCTTGAATAGCATCAGAGTCCTTACAGCAATACTATGTAATTCTCAAATGTGCTTTGTTTTACTGACACAGAAGATATAAACCAGACTAGAATGTGGACTTAGAATTGATGTTTATTGCATGAGTCCCACCTAAAGATATGAAATATATCCGACGCATGACATGAGAGCAAATAGTAAATGAAAACTAGAAGATTGCTTTAGTACCCAATCAAAATAGTATACAGAGCTACCAGAAAGAAAATAACCCAGGCTGAAAAGAAACTTTGCAAGCACAAAAGCTATTCTGCACAAAGAGCCAAATGCAGCATGTGTGCTTCTAAATCTCATCCTATTTTGAGGAATTTAATCATGGATAAGCCTTTTGCTGCCACCTGTACAGAAATCAATGCACAGAGTACTTCAGGGCAGTGAAAATAAGTAGGATACCAAACAGTTGAACTAACAGACATGAATCAAACCAGGGATCCAACCTTTTCCACAGTAAAAGTTTTATCCAAGCTCATTCTTGCAGATGACAAGTTTAATCACTGTTCAGTAACAGTCATTTTCATGTGAAGTATTATTTCAACTTTGGCTTCTCATTTACCCAGTATAGAAACTACACAAGCGTAAGTGGCAGGTGTCGGAGAACAAACCTGTGGTAGAACCATGCAGTTGTTTCCAGAGCTCTGGAGAGACTGCTAATAAAATGAGGGTGCTCACAACCCTCTTATGCTGAGATCACAAACTTTTGCTCTGTGAAAAGTAGTCTTCCTGCCTCAGAGGCATGCCAGAGCAGAGTCCTGGAGGACCACTGACATCTGGTGGTCACTTCACTATAACGAAGACCAAGTCATATATATTTAATTTTACTGTGACTTGATCAAATTACATTTTATAGGTGGTCTGACAGAAATATATGCCAGGGAAGAATTAAGTTACAGGTCTTAATCTGTGTTCATTAACTTAGTGAAATTTGATAGCTGCAAGTAAATGCAGATGAACTGTAACACACAAACAACAAACTCAGTTAAAGCTGCCAGTACATTAATAGTATTGTTGGATTAAACCCACTCTAGAGATAATAAAGCTTTTCCAAATACAGCACATTTAATTCAACAAGTTCTTGAGAACCACTGGATCATTAAATAGAATTATATAAAACTGTCTTTTTTACAAATAAAAAAACGCATTGTTTCCTAGGTAAGATGTTTCTTATTACTGAAAAGGAGTAATGAGATTTAGGTCTACTTTTGCTAGACAACTAGCACAATATTAAATAATAAGCAGGAGTATCCAATAATTTTATCCATATTGATATGTGTTACATGGTGAGACTGCCCAGACAGAAACTGCCTCCGTTCTCTCCAGCAAACTTGAGATGATCTTCTTGACACCTAAATGCAATTGTGCAGAGTTACCACAGCCACCAGCACTGGACCTAAAATGTACTTAGGCCTGTTAGCACTGATTGTTGACCGGCAAACACTTAAAACTATGTTTTGTTTGTTGCATCTACGTACAACTTGTAAACAAAACTCTGAGGCTTTCAAACATTCATCAAGTATACAAAAATCTTATTAAACTGTCATGAGAATTTTCAGCCCTTCCCATACGCTTTTTTTGATGCAAAATGATTCAAAGTCTACCTTCAGGTAAATATACATTTCTTGTTGAAATGGGAGCTCAGTTCAAAACTAATAAAACTCACAGCATCTGTTGAGTAGTAGAAGTAATCAAATTGTTTTACTACACCTTTCCTCCATGCTACAAGTTGGCAGTTTTGCAAAAAACCAGCAGTATAAATCATGTCCAAACCATCTGTATTTTTCACTTACCATCAACACAACCCCTATCCATAAGTAAACAGACTGCTAAATTAAGCTTTACCTTCAATCTAGGCTACCTAACCAGAATGATAGAGTGAACTATTTTTAATTACTTATACAAAAAGGCATTGCTCTGCATATGTTTTCTAGTTGGCTGTGGCACGTTGTGGGCAAGCATTTTATAGAGACGTGCAATTGCTAATGTTGCCAAGAAGTGTGCAAAAATAGCCAGTGCTCAGAGTGAAACACGAAAGGGTACATGGGACACTCACACAGAGGCAACTGTACCAAGCCACTCCAAAGAAAGCAGCAAATGTGCACCAAGATAGTTTGATTTGATTCTGCCAGAGTTTGAGGCTGAGACTTTCAAAAGACAAGTGTCAGGTTGTCAGGAAATGTGCACCAAGATAGTTTGATTTGATTCTGCCAGAGTTTGAGGCTGAGCCAGAAAGGCTTTCAAAAGACAAGTGTCAGGTGTTTTGCTTCCATTTGTATTTCAGCAAAATTGTAGTATCTGTTGTCCAGTGATGCCTCTGGAGAATTTCACTTGTGTGGTACACAAACCACTGATGTTCTTACCTGTTTCAGGTCTTTTCCTGTACTGCTGCATGAACATACACTGACAAAAGTGGCTTTACAAGATTATTTTTTAACACATTCCTAAAGGTCCAACTGCAAATCAACAGGCAATAATCAGTACAGAGAAACTTGCTCCTGTGCACAACAGGCACAATGTTCTAATTAATCTTACTCTGAGCATTTAAAGTAAGAGCTATTTTCAGTATTTTAACAATGCTGGTTTCTGCACAATAATGCATTTCATCTACAGTGAAAAGCTGTCACATTGCTGCATATTTATTAAATAAAAGCATTTTAATTAGGTCAGCTACTGGGTAAAGGAGACAATAACCACTTTAACGAAGCACTGTCACAGATATAGGCCCTTGGCTGAAAAGTACGTCTCTTCTTTCCTTTGTCATCCCCCCAACACATATTTTTGAAAAATATCTCAGCATTGCCAACCCAATTAAACAGCAGCAGGAGATGATTACTCTGTAGCAATGTTCTAATTCACAGACATAATCGTTCTTCTATGTTTATATTTTATTGAAGATATTTTCCTGGGGGGCAGAGATGCCCTCCACTCACCACCAGGGACAGACAAGGTCTAAAAATAATTTTGCCTGGTTCTAATTGATAGCACCATGTTGGCAAATCTCTTCCGAAGACACAGGAAAGCAAGATAACCCACCCCTGCCAGCATGCTGACCAGCAGGGTGGTGCCAAGAACCCTGGGAGCCCTTTTCTTGGCCACACGGAATGCTGTTGGCAGGACAGCCGAGATTAATATATTGTTGACGTGTCCTAAAACTTTGTAAAATGCTTTTCTCTTCACGACACGCTCATAATAAGCTTCCAAGTTGGGCCGCTTTCCATTTCCCCAGTTTCTTCTTGCTAATCCCAGAAACTTCAGGCGATGTAATGTGACAGCAAGTGACACATCTGCCAGACTGAAGAAATCACCACAGAGCCAAGGCTGATTTCCATCTTCTAAGCAGAGATAAAACATAAAACATTAGGAACTAATGGAATATAAGCACATTTAGTTTAGTGCTACTTCAAAGTACCATCTAATAAAGAGCAACAACTCTTCAGCTAAAATATGACTTTAATCAATAAACATTTTCCTAATCTCTGTCCACTCTTTGCACAATCTTGTAAAGTCTTAGGCTCAGCAGACTGGCCTACATTTGTTAAGGAAAAAAAAAATCCACATTCCAGGTTCATAAATTAAAACCCACAGTAAACACTTATTTTCCTCAACTAGATTTCTCAAATCTGGATTAAATTAAACAGGATTGGAAAGGAGGAAGACAGTTTAGCTTTTACTGAAAAAGCTGCCACTTGTCTGAAGAATTTATCATCTTGCCTGTGTCACCCAGCTCTGTGGCATTCACTCAAGAACTACCTCCAGCTAACTTGTTGGAGGCTTTCAAGCCAAAAAGAAATGGATCAGATGACTGACTTGCACCAAACATATCAGCCCACTGAGATGACAGAATTTGACTACCTGTGTCTCTTTTGTGTCTCTTAGACCCCAAATTATGGGGATTTTACACTGAGATGTTTGAGAAATATGACAAATATTCACACTGCTCACCACTACTCAGGAGCACAGATGGAGACCCCAGGTACCCTCTCCAGTCAAAGGAAAGAGATGACTCTTTCTGGGATGGCTCAGAGCAGGCACTGCCAGGCAGCATCACGCTTTGCTGTCAGTGATCTGAACCACCACCACCTGAAATGGCTGACATGTACTGACTATAACAAGAGCTTTTGAAACCCAGGATATGAAACTTGATAGCCAGCACAGCTATCATAGCTGCCAGCATAAGCACTCCACTCTAGCCTAGATCTCAAATAGAGAGGACTGTGCTGCTCCCGTCTCATTTGTAACTTTTGCAGTTCGTCCCTCCCTAGAAACAGAGAAATTTTTCAATCTCCTTTCCAACACACTTTCCACCAGAGAAAAGCAACAGCTTGGCACAAAGCTGGTACTAGTCCATTTTGACTGGCTACACAGGTCTGGAAAAAAGGCCTCTGTAGAAAAGGAGTTGCTGAAAGGATACCTGGGAATTCATCCAGTGCATTAAATAAGATGATGGAAAAGACCAAAGAATCTATCCTGTGTGAAAGAAAGATGCCTGCAGTGGCAGCAGTAGTAGTTGAGGGATTCAAGCAAATGCAAGAGAAGCAGGAGCTCTGAGTTTGGACAGGACCTGGAGAAGTACAGATCACAAACCTCCAAAGTGGGAATACATCAGACAAAATTCCAAGAGGCAATAGTTCCATGTTTCACAAAATCCTGCAATCCCAGAAGCTTTCATAAACTCATCAATATTGTATCTGTTCAGTCCTTGGAAAGGCTACTTAGCAGAGAAAGGAAAGGAGTTGCTGGAAATGGTGGCAGACATAATTTGTTGAACAAAATCCTTCCATCCTTTATGAGTTAAAATATTTTCTGTGACTCTTTCACTGTTGAGTCAGTAGAAAATTTAACCTAGGTTTTCAACTGCTGGTTCAAACCTACAGTTGTGATAGTAACCAGTAATTATTACAACAGCTATTTATAGAGCTAAATGAAAAAGTTATTGATTTGAGCAGATGCAGTTGATATTGACTGATGCTTCATGCAGTTTCCAGTGAAATCAGGGGAAGGACTCCTATTAGCACCACTGGGAGTTGAACCACACTGTGAATAAGCAGTAGACTAAGCCCATTTAAGCAGAATTTAGGATGCTGATATGGTCAAGTGCCTGTGGGTATAGATCAGGGGGAAGGTCAGCATTGCAGATGTCCTTGTAGGAGTGTCTTACAGACCCGCTAGCGACCACAAAGAGGCAGATGATGCACTCTACAGGAGGCTGGCAGAATTTCAGCCCCTGTTTCAGCCAGATGCCTGCTGAAAATACAACACAGTGGAGAGGAGCACGAGATTCCTGGAGTGTGTGGAAGAAAACTTACTCTCAACTGGAGGACTCATGGGTGATGTGGTGGTCAGTGGCCATCTTGGGCACAGCAACCACAAAATGATGGAGTTTTCAGTTCTGGGTGAAGTAAGGAGAGGCACTAGCAGAACTGCCACCTTGGACCTCTGCCAGGCAGACTTTGGACTGCTTAGGAGACTGATTGACAGAGTTCCTTGGGAGTCAGTCCTGAAAGGCAAAGTAGTACAGGAAGAATGGGCAAGATTTAAGGAGGAATTCTTAAAGGTACAGCAACAGGTAGTCCCCATATGCTGTCAGGGACAAAGACCAGCCTGGTTAAACAGGGAACTTAGGCTGGAACTTAGGGTAAAAAAGACTGTGTCTCACCTCTGGAAGGAGGTGGGTAACTACAAGGATGTCATGGGGTTATGCAGGAGAAAATTAGAAAGAAAGCCAAACTGGAATTTAATTTGGTCACTGAAGTTCAAGACAACAAAAACAGTTTCAGTAAACACATTGACAGAAAAAGGAGGGCTAAAGAGTCTCAATCCTTTGCTGTATGGAGGGGGAAACATAGTGGGTGATGAGAAAAAGTCTGAAATACTTAATGCCTTCCTTGCTTCTGTCTTTAACACCAAAACCCCTGGTCCTCAGGCTGTCCAGCTCCCAGAGCTGAAAGTTGGTGATGGGCACCTGAGTGAAGACCCTACAACTCAGGAGAAAATGGTTAGTGACCTGTCATGCCAGTTAGACACCCACAATTCTATAGGTCAAGATGGAATGTGCCCAAGAGTAAGAGGGGAGCTGCCAAAAATTTGCCAATTATTAAAATTATTTACCAGCAATCTTGATTAACCACAGAAGTCTCTGTTGCCTGGAAATTAGCAAATATAATACCCATCTACAAGAAGGGTCAGAAGGAGGATCCAGGAAACTACAGACCTGTCATCCTGACCTTGGTACTGGGAAACATCATGGAGTAGATCGTCCTGAGTGTCACTACATGGCATGTGCAGGAGAATCAGGGGAACAGGCCCAGCCAGCATGAATTTAAAAAGGCAGGTCTTGCTTGGCCAACCTGACCTCCTTCCATGACCAGTGACACGCTCACTGGATGAGGAAAAGGCTGTGCACATTATCTAAATACCTGTAAAGCTTTTGACCTGTCTCCCAGAGCATTCTCCTGGGCAAACTGGCTTGGGTGTCTCAGCCCAGGGAGTGATGGTGAATGGAGTTACATCCAATTGGTGGCTGGTCACTAGTGCGGTTCCCCAGGGCTCAGTATTTGGGTCAGTCCTTTCTAACAGGATGAAATGGCCCTAAGTTGAGCCAGACAAAGTTCAGATTAGATATTAGAAATGTTTTTCACTGAAAGAGTGGTCAGGCATTGGAATATGTTGCCCAGGGCAGCAGACAGCAGGATATGGTTTATGGTTGATGGTGCTGGGTTGACAGTCAGACTAGATCATCTTGGAAGTCTCTTTCAACATTGATGATTCTGTGGTTCTGTGAAAAATTTGCCTTTCATTTGGGTGGAAGCAGCTAAACAGGATTGCTTTTCAAGAGGGTGAGGGAAGAGGGTTGCCTAATGATCAGAGCAATTATTCAGATTGCTTATTCTACATATACCACAAATATCAGCGGAGTATCTGCACAAGATTATAATAAACCTGTATTAAACATTAAGATTCTGATCTTGATAATGAACTGAAGCCTACACCTATAACATCAACATTCTGTAGTTAATTTTTTTCCTGATTTTTTGACAAAAATACTAAAAAAATTCTGCAGCTAATTATACTCATTTTGCTGAAAATGTGATCACGCACTCTCATGAGACAGTGAGAAATCATTGACTGAACAGTAAAGTAAGCTAGTATTTAAAACAGTATTGATCCCTTCTGTGAGGTATAGGTCAATATATACTAAAAGTATCAAATCTGACACATTAAAAATTGTTTTATAATGGTGCTGTCAACAAGTTTACTCAGTCTCCTCAAACAGAAATATTAACAGGATTTAGCAAGAAAAATTCCTTACCTGGTGTTTCCTCATTTCGCCGCTGCAATTCAGTCTCAACCTGATCCAAAACTTTTTCCAGTTCATCCAGTATTTTCTTTAGGTATTTTATATTATCATGATCCAGTAGTTTAGACTAAATAGACATACAGGTTAGTGTTTTAATCATCATACAGAGTTTATACTTTTATCAGAGAAGCTTATACTTAGCATACTACAGTGTTTATTCATAAAATGTGATTATTTTCTCCACGTAGTCAGAAAGATACCACATGGATACTGGTGACAAGTCAGAAAACAGAAGAAAACTTTAGAGATGCCAGATATTAAGGTTTGCCTACCCCTGCAGGGCGCTCAACAGCCCAACACTAGCACTGATGTGTACTTACCTCTAAAGTCAGTGGGACCAGTCCAATACTTCAGCACACACTTGAAGTGTGTAGCTGATCTGAGAACAGACTGTTTCATGCCTTGAAGGGTTAAACGACTGCATGACATTACTGATAATGACAAGTGAAACAAATGTTTATATTGTGACCAAAAAATCTAACACTAACAAGCTCATAATAAAGGGGCCCATACAAAGGGGTTTCTTACCTTAAGGCGCTTCTGTTTTGCTATATAGGCATCTTGAAGGTCTGGATTTTCTTCTGCAAGTTTCTTCAATTCTGATTCTGTGTTACTTATTTGGCCTAATTTAAAACAAACAAACAAAAAACCAAAACCAAAACAACACCGAGGCAGACAAAGAAAGGAATGACAAATATTAGATAGCCAAACATACTCATGATACAATCTCATGATACAAATATCACACCAAGGAAATTGGAAGTGCTGCTTCAATACAGCATCTGCACCAGGTTAGGATTTAAATATATCACATTTTGGAAAACTTAAATGCTTTTTAAATTGACCCAACCCACCTTCAGCTCATCAGTTTACAATGTGACAGTGCTGGTAGGCCCACACTGAGATTTCTTGTCACTGTAGGCCACAGGCATCATTTCACAGCAAAAGCCTAAATGCCACTGAATATGGAGCCAAGGTGTTTTCATCTAGCTAAAATCTGATGCCAGAGTCTGTGATCCTTTTGGAAATGTTCTTTAAGATCTGTGTGCACATACTAGAAGAACATTCATTACATGATTTAAAGAAGGAATTATGTGAAAAGCTTAAGTTAATTTTACTGATTCTACTATGCTTAAATGGGGCTTTGCTTGAAAATGCCATACTTATAAACCCAGAATACCAAAAGACAGTGATTTATAAATCTTCTAAAAATAAATATTTCTAATCATAAACCAAGAACAAAAGAATAATTTAGAGCATGAATCACCTCTCACTTGTGCCTGATAATAAAGTTTTGTTACAATTAAGTCTGATAAATTAAAGTGATAAAATTCTTTCTAGAGAATAACAAACTCACTTTTTATATATTCATTTCAACATGACTGTGAAAGCCATCCTTCAATATAGTGTATGAAGAACTTGAAGGATGTGCTCATACAACTAAAATTTTACATATGCAATTAATTACTTACTTGGATTTGGTATGCATAAACATAATACACAACTGGCTCATGCCTTATTATATTTAGCAGTCTGAAAAAAATCAGGTGTTTCAAGCTCCAACCAGGAGAAGTTTGAACATGCAAAGGAATCGTTAAGAAACATCCACAGGCTCTTCAAAAAAATGCTTCAAATCAAAAAATGTAGGCTATGCTTTAAGCATGAAAAGATAAGAAAACATCCCAATTTAGACAAGCAATAATGTTAGCTCTGCCAGTATGAACATGTGCAAATTGAAAACAATTTACACCAACTAGAAACTAGAGCAGAAGAATACATACAGCAAAAAAAGCAGAGGACAATGTTGTAAAGTGAACTGTAATTAAAGCACTGATTATTACCATGTGAAAACATAAAAACTAGCCATAATGCCTATGAGTAAACCACAATTGTTCAATAAACAGTTAGCATACAAAAAAAAAAGCACCAAACCAGACAATGCAGTGATGTAAGAGAATAATTTGTGTTCTTGGACAAGGGGGAGTGGCTTTAAACTGAAGGAAGTAGATTTAGATTAGATATGGAGAAGAAATTCTTTCCTGTGAGGGTGGTGAGGCCCTGGAACAGATTGCCCAGAAAAGCTATGGACTCCCTATCCCTAGAAGTGTCCAAGGCCAGGCTGGATGGGGCTTGGAACAGCCTGATCTAGTGGAAGATGTTGAAACTGATGATCTTTAAGGTCCCTTTTAACTTAGGCCATTCTATGATTCTATGATTTTATGATCCTGTGATTCTATGTTACTTCAGTAACAACAACCATGCAACAATATGGAAAATTAACTGCCTGCCTTCACTTCTGACAACATAATAGTGTGTTACCAGAAATTTTAAGGAGGGGGATAAGACATTTTGTTGGAAATATGATTTCTCAAGCTAACACAATATCACCATTTATGGTATCATGGACTTAGTATAGATGTATTACATTTCAAAGACTCTGCAGTATTTGACTTTGTTCTGCAGAGCATTCTAAAACATCGTACAAAGAAAAGAAAAAGAATCAACACTATATAAACCATTGACATTGACAAAAAAAAAAAAAAGAATCAGAGATCTCAGAATCTAATAGTAAACAGGGAATCATCATCCAGCCGTGCTGTCAGGAGTTGATACTTGTCCTAGAACTACTTAGTTCTTTTGCAATACATTGAAGGAAACATAAAGACATCAGTTAAAAGGTAGCCATGGTACAAAAAAATTACCTCCACAGACACCTCAAAAATAACATTTCCTCTTTCCCATTTCCAAATCCCAACAATAGACAATCAATAAAAACTATATGCACAAATCATCAAGGACTGCAACTAAAATTCATAATCTGTGCTCAGTATTTTTTGTTTAAGGTGGACTTAAGAAAGAAGATGAATGTAATGCAGCAACCTACTAAGTCAGAGACATTCAGAGCTACACCAGTACATACTACGGATCCTGCTGGTAGCATAGGCTGGAATCATGGAGTCCACAGTTAACTCGGGGTGCAGGATGCAGCCATGTGTGTAGGCATCCATCGGCAAGGAGTCTAAGAGCTCCCTGTAGTGTTGCACCCTTGGATAATACATGCTCCCCTCTTCTGGCATTAATCTTGGTACTTCCTCTGCAAAATAAAGTTAAAAATAAAGTTAAGAAAAGAAGAATCATCTAATTGACCAAAGTTTACTCAGTCATGTCCAGCTGGTACAGGTGACACAGCCACAGGTAAGAAAGCTTCACTTGTTCCCCAGCATAAGTCAATAGTGTGATTGCAGCTCAGAGAAATGTATATTTGTAGTTCATTTTAAAATGTTTTAGAATTCCAATTCCTATGCAGCAACCCATACAAACACGTATTTAAAAAGCTTTCAAATCAGGAAACCACTCTCAGCTCTGTTACATACATCTAGGAATGGGTGACCATGACATACAACCCTATAATGCTCTCACTGCAGGGGACAGCTGAGATTCCAGGAAATTGTTATGGCTGAAACATTACTGCTCCTGCAATGGTGTAAAAATTACAGTACAGGAATCCTACACAAAGCATGGCTGGAAGTATTCCTGCACATCATAGAGCTTTACCCTAGCCTTGATCTACCTGGACCCCAACTCCTTTTTTGACTAAAAGAGAGCACAAATTATGTTCACTCAAAAATGAAGTTTTTTTCATGCCTCAGAAATTGCAGTGCTAAATCCCTGAAATACAAAATGCTGCCATCTTCACACTTATACAAAATTCATCTCTGCATTTCCTTCAAAAATTGAGGCAGGCTTTTTGGTTGGTGTTTGGTTTTTTGCTTTTTTTTAACAGTACAGGCACAAAGAACTTCAAAATCCTGCACATGATCACTTCCAAGGCTTCTCTTCCTGCTCTTTTACTTCTTCATTCCATTTTGGCTCCAAAAAATTTTGCTCATTCTACTTCCATTGTTCTACAAAAGATTTTTCTGAAATTAAGCATGTTTCTTCTTATCTCACAGAGAATCTGGACCTGCTCAACAAAGGCAGTCATGCAGCACTGTTCAGTATGTTACTTTTCATGGCAGTGTCACACCAGGGTTAGTGCAGCTAACTTAGTGCTGCTGCCATTCCTGGCTTCTCCATCCTTCCTGAAGGGCTAAGGAGGACAGTGGTAGGTTTTAATTATAAAGGTTCACTCATGAAGGTGCTGGAAAGCCTTCTACTAATTTTAAAGGAACATGTTTTCAACCCAAACTGCTAGCTATTAAGAAGCCTGTTTACTTGTGAGACTATAAACATATTCTGCCCTGAATGAAGAGTCCTGCAGTGACACAGAGCTGCCCCCAGCATTGCTACAGTTTATGGGGTGAGGGGAAGAACCACGTACTGAAATGCCTGTGGGATTACCATCTACAAACGTCGCTTCAAGGTAATCAATAATCTGCGTTGCCTCACAAATTATGTTTTCTCCATGGATCAGGACGGGTACTTCTCCAGAGGAGCTCAAGCGCATGAACCACGGCTCGTTGTGCTCGCTCAGCGGCAGGTTCACATCGCGCTCCTCGCACTTCAGCGCCTTCTCGGCTATTGCCAACCGCACCTGGAACGGCACCGCCGGGGTCACCCGGGCAGCATCCCCGACCGGCCGGGCAGCATCCCCGGCCGGCCGCTTTGCCTGTCCCGCCTTGGCGCACCCACGGCCGCTCCCACCATCCCCCATCCCTCCACCCTTCATCCTACACCCCTCCCGCCCCGATGCCGCCGCGGGCGCGCAGGGGCTGTGGGCACGGCGGGAGGCGGCGATCCAGGGCCCACTCCCCCGCCCACCCCTCACCTTCTGCGAGGAAAAGGACTGCGTCCAGTGGTACAGCACCAGCGGCGCCATGCCCGGCTCGGCTCGGCCCGGCTGGGCCCGGCTCGGCCCGCGGCGCTGGGCGGGGCAGGAGGCAGCGCGGGCGCGGAGCGGCGGCCGTGCCCGCCCCGCGCCGATCCGCTCTTGGAAATTACCCGAAGGGAATACCCCGGGGATGCGGGGAACAGCCCTCACTGCTCGGAGGACAGCCCTTCCGAAGGGGAAACCGCCTGCAAAGCCGTCTGCCGCATCCCCTAAGGAAGCGCAGGAAGATGGATGCGCAAGTAGGGAAGGTCACATGGCAGGATTTAACCTTTTATATTTATTTGGTTTTTGATTTAGTTTTTTTGGGGTTTTTTTTTGAACCAGTGTTTCCAGTATGAATTTCAGGGACATGAGCAACACACACTTGGGAAAAAACAAAACAAAACAACCCAAAAAAAAAAAAAAAAAAAAAAAAAAAAAAAAAAAAAAAAAAAACCCATAAATCATCCTGAATTGGACCCTGCGGGCATAAATCCTCAATTGCAAAATGAGTCATAGCAAGAAGGAACAAAGCTTTCGAATAACTTCTTTTGCCTCTAGATGCATTCTTTCAAGAGAGAAAGTTTCTTAATTATTTTTTTTTTCTAGACAAAATTAGAAAATCTAACAGTTTTTCAGGGATTTTTTCATTTTCCCTGTGTGAAGCAAGGTCTTTTTGGAAAAGCATTTGAGAGTGAACAATGGTTTATATCATCAGGAAATGCCTCCTCTGTATCTTACACTGGAGATAGTTTAGAAATGCGATTGCTGATAGTACATTAGACGCTATCAGCAACAGCAGGCAGATTTTAGCTGAGTAAAAAAGCACAGTGAGATTACAGAGCGCAGAGTATTGTTATCTTCATTCTGACTGCTCAGTTCCCAGTAAAGGCGACTATTTCAGGTAAACCTGATAACTCAGTCCCATGTGCCATTTCTGGATAACAGATGAACGTCATGATCAGTATCTTAAAGACCTGAACCTAGTACGTTGAGAGCTGTATCCCAATAACAAGAATATTAAGGGAAATTTTTACTAATGTTAAGGAAGGGAATGGATTTAAGTCACTGAGACAAGTTAATGGACAAACTTTATAAATAAAAAGGAAAGAAACAAAAAGCCAGCTTCCAGCCCTGTACTGATCATAGGAGTGGGCACAAGGGCAGGCCCATGCCTTCCTCAGAGACCACTCCTTGCTAGAGTCACAAGCCAAAATAATCTCTTCAGAAGGTTATGCCTGGTGAGAGGCTTCTCACAAACCCCAGCTGATAGCAATCATTGTTACTGATGGTAAATCCCAGATTTGGGGGAATTTAATTGTTTTTCTTCAAAAAGTTGGAGAATGTGCTTAGAACTGACCACAAGAATGCAGTTGATGGCCTTATGGCTGGATTTACTTCTCTTTAAGATACATGTCTAAGGTAAGAGTGCTGGAACATCCTCTCATGCACAAAGGCTTTAACCTGTGACTCACCGATACATGGATATTTTCACAGATCCCTGCCTAGGCTGCTGTACAGCTGTTCCTTACAGCTAGATCTTACAGTAACTCAAGGGAAAGAACTGGGAATTGGTTTTTCTTAAATTTACATGAACTAGGCACTCTTTCAGGTGTCTGCTTTGCTTTTTTTTTTTTTTCCTTCATTTTGCCTATTAATCAAAATGTTGTGTTGCCATTTTGTCAATTACCATATAGACCACTACCCTGCTTCTCTTGGTACAGCGAATTTATTTAATATCACACATGGACTTCTGTGTTTGATTTTGTTACCTGGTTTAGATGTCTAGAAAGGCAAGGAAATATATCTATCTTATAACACAATAAAGAAAGAAGGACCGACAGCTGCAATCATATACAGGTGATCCTTCTTCCTAACCTAGCCATCCATATTGCTATGAAATATAGGAAAAATACTGACCAGTTGGAGCGGGTCCAGAGGACCAGATGATTTGGGGGATGGAACACCTCTCTTATGAGGAAATTCCAGGAGGATTAGGATTGTTCACCCTGGAAAAAAGAAGGCTTACAGGTTGCCAAATTGTGGCCTTTAGTACCTGAAGGGAGTCTACAAGAAAGACTAAGAGGGACTTTTTACAAGAGCTTGGAGTGACAGAACAAGGGGGAGTGACTTCAAACTGAAAGAAAGTAGATTAGATATTGGGATGAGATTCTTTACTGTGAGGGTGGTGAGGCACTGGAACAGGTTGCCCAGAGAAGCTGTGGCTCTCCATCCCAAGAAATGTTAAGGCCAGACTGGAAGTGGCTCTGAACAACCTGGCCTAGTGAAGGTGTCCCTGCCCATGGCAGGGGTGTTGGAAGTGGATGATGTGTAAGGTCCCTTCCATCCTAGGCCATTCTATGATAAATAATAACCCTGATAAATAATACCCCGATGTCCATGTTTATAGTCCTGGTTCCGCTGAAGGAGCGGGTGCCTGCGGACGCGATCCCTCCAGCCCGACAGGGCCGTTCCCAGGCCTGGCCACACGAGGCCTCCCTTTTCCCAAACACGGTGCATAGAACCTTCCTTCTTCCAGAAATGAAGAAAAAAGGACGAATCCTTTCTCTTCAGAACCAGCACCTATCCATCCACCTATGTTTGCCCTTCTACCTTTCTCATACCCACAGAAAAGCAAGCAAAAGGGCCAGATTATGAAAAAGCTCATCACAACCTGGAACATCTTGTTCCACAAGCGTTTACACAAGGCTTTACACAACCAAAAGTCTCCTTAAGGCATGTTTAATTTGTGCCATAAATACACAAGCAGCAGAAATGCAAATGACTGGCATCTTGGCAGCTTGTGGCTTCAAGCAGACCCCTAGCTCTGTGTGATAAATAATTTTTCCTACGACACTGATGTTCTTGCCCTGTTTCTCTGCATGGCCTCTCCTAGGCCTTTTTTAGCATCCTATATATGTTTACAAAAATATATGCATATATGCATGCCCCTCTACAAGTTTTTTTAATGCACATATTTTTACATCATGGAAGGAAAATAACATTTACAGCTAATGCTAAAAATAAAAAAAATCTTGATAAACAGTTATAAACAGTTACATAAAATGGGTGAAAGATCTGGAAATCAGAATTCTGGTAATCAGTTTTCTTCTTTACTTCAACTTTCACTCCATGTTATTAACAAGACACACACAGGTCAGATGTGTCGTTAAAGTAATTGATGCAAGTTAAAAAAACAACTGTTTTTTTTCTTATCAGATCAATTCATTGTGCCTACTGAAACCTAAATGTACTAGACTACAGGGGGGAATTTATTTTTTTTTCTGTGCAGCCAAGAGCCATTATAGCTGAAAATTAGCTGGATTCTGTTTATGAATCATTAACAGATGCATTGGTTCAGTTCCAAGTGCAGGGCCAGCAGAATTGACAGTGTTGCAGGAGTTAATACTCATTGGGAAAGTAAGGCAGGTTCTGTTCTGGACCTTCTGTCATCAATGGTTATTGATTAAATTCCACTGGCAGATGCTGCTTTACTGATGATATGAGTCAAAACAACATAGCACTGAACTCAGGTACACAGCTGAGACTTAATACTGACACAAGAACGCACAAGAACTTTCTTTAACATGACTGAAAAATTAGATGTGCAACTATATAGAAAAAGTGAGAGCAGCATTATGTCTTGATAGTCACAGCTGAAACTATCTGTGCCCTAATTTAACTGCATATAAAACCATGGAGCGATGGCAGTTGTAGATAGCTGATTCATGTTCACAGGAAAAATAATTTGTCAGTTACCATTTTACATCCAACAAAATCAATTTATAATAGAATTTATTTAGTCATTTACAAAGTTACTTAACACATCATACTAGGGTTTTTTTAGGGATTTCACCACAAAATTCTGCCAAATTTTTCCTAAATACTATAGTATTCCTGTTCCATGCAGGAGTTTCATATGTAAATGCTTCAGAAATACAGTTTAGTAATTAATTTTTATATAACATTTTTAGAATTTTTATAGTAAGCCTATTTCAAAATAGTTATTAGTAATTTTCATGTAACAAAAATATTAATTGTTCTAATGTTATATAAATCTCAACAGTTTTGATTGGAATGAATTTTCCTGAAATATCAGGTTTTTAACGCACACACAGAAAGAGATTTAATGTATTTTCATAAGGTGAAAAAAATGTAGTTTCTTAGCCATAAACCTTAAAATCTAGGTATTAACACTAAAGCTTTATCGAGTCTATCCCTCCTCAAGCTTTTATGTAAACAGCATCTTTAGTATAAAATCTAACATATCAGCAAAATTCAAGCTATTTAAAACTTTTTTTATACTTACCCATGTTTGTTGTCTCTGTGCACATGTATAATATGCTGGCTCACAAACCTGGATCAATACCAAGCTTTTAGGAACAATTCTGTGTCATCACTTCACATGTTTCTTCTTCCCTCACACTAACTTAGACAAGTCACCCACAACAGTGAAAACTCTGTACCCCTGTGCATACCATCCAGATGATGATATTGATTCTGGTTTTAATCTAACAGTGATGACATTTTGTTTGCACAGCACTGTCTGGCACACTGGCTTTTGGTTGCCCATTAAAATTCACATATTACCACAACACAAACAATGAATGTAAGAAATATTCCAGTTTCCACCTATTATTGCCTGTGGCCAAAACCAGAGTGCTCAGCTTTGACCTTGTAAAATAGATTAGACAGATGCTGAAGCAAAGTCCACTAAAGTTAGAGAGGTGATTTGTACTGGCTTCAGTGGGTCCTGTACCAGCTCTTAGGCCAGTTAAGATTCTATTAACATCACACTGTGAAATATAAATACCCAGTAACTGGATGACACCCAAACACAGAAAGCCTTAAGAAAACCTAAGGAGTTAAATACAATTTTGTAAAATGTCCTCTGAAGTCTCATAGTATTTCCATTTTTGACTGGAAAACAGTTTTTAAAATCTTTCCTGAAAAATTATAGAAATCAGATTCTTTCCATCCCTGAAACAAACCCAAACGTTAATAATTTTCAAAAATTTCTAAAAATCTTGTTACACTTTCTGTTGGAAATGCAAACACTTTGATAAATTAATTTGTAAATAAGTTTAAACATTTAATCTTTTCCCCGCAAATTGCTCAGAAAAATAGCTTTTAGCCTCTTTAAAGCATAATCATGTACTTCCACACCTTGTTATTGACAAGTAAAAAAATAGGTGTCACTAAGGAAGATCCATTTCCTTTGAAGAACTATTTTCAATCACAGTGACAACATAGAAACATAGCTGTTATTTCAAAAAGGAAATTCTTGTTTCTTCAGCCTTAGTTCTTGCTGTTTGCTCATTACTTTTGTGCAAGCTGGACTAAAAGAGTAACACACAAAATATTTCAATTAGACTCCCTGAAATCTCACTCCACGTCAGACATCTGTGTTGGACAGAAGTAAAAGAAAAAAATGTTTTGAAAAGCTTAGATCATCATCTGTCCCAGAGCACCCTTCACCAGCACAGCAGCAAGGATGGAGGCTGTTCTGTCCTGGGCCACCGTGGGCTCCATACCACCACAAGAAAATCATGGTTGCTGTCTGGGCAATGCAGCTCACAAGTGCTCATGGCAGGGTGGGAGCCGTGAGTGTAGGTAGAGTATTTTCTTTTGCTAAGACTCTTTTCCCCTCAATCTAAATCACATAATTTATGCACTACTATTGCATTGTGTTTTCAAATTATAGTACAGCAGAAACAATGAAATCGTAGTGGCCAGTTATGATACATCAATTTACTGTACATTTACTGAATTTTGAAAATTAATTAATTCTTATTGCTTGAAATAAAAGAACAGCAGACTAAAAAACAGCTGATTAAATTCACTATCAAGTAGCATGCAAACATAACATTCACCTAACTCCTTTCAATAAGCAAGACCCTAATTTGTGAAAGTAAAAATAGGACAAGCTACAGTTTTGGGCAGCAATAGATCTGGGCACTGAATCACTGTCTATGTTCTTTTGGCACTGATTGAAACATGCTGGCATGATTTTTTCTCAACTGCATAACGTCACTCACAAATAGAGAACAAATACCAGAGCTACTGCTCTGAAAACACACTTCCCCTATCACATTTAAAGAAATCCCAATTAGATTTTCCTAAGAAAGACAGAGGTAGGATATTAGTGCCAGCTGAAGGCAAGAATACTTGCAATTTAGTATTTATTGAGTTATCTGGAGAGAGAAAAGAAAAAAAAAGGCACTATACAGAGAGAGGGATGAATTTAAATCCTGCGTGTGTAACTGATACAAATGAAAGTATGAAGTTGTCCCTGTGCCCTGTGCGAGCTCAGGGGAGAAGTGAGGGCAGCAGGCGATGGTATGTGTCTGAAATAACAAACCCTCTCCACTAACACCCGAGCTAATGCACTGGTGCGGGGGCAAAGCCAGAGGAGAGAAGCTGCAGAAGCTGAAACAAGCTTTTCAAATTTTACAGAGACGTGCAAACTGGTGGGGGGTGGAGGAAGACGTGGTGCCTTGGCTTAATTCCTGTAGTGTCCTGTCAAGTCCACAGGGCAGAACACAAAGGGAGAAGTTGATCTGTATGTTACAGTCCTCGGAAAAAAATACAAACATTATAAAAGCACAGCAGTTATATTAACTTGAGTCAATATGAACAGAGCTTTGGGACAAGGAATTAAGAATATTCTTTTGGCCCAGTAGGATAATCTATCTTTTCAAGATGAAGAAACTGACAGGGTTTAATTCTTGGCCTTGAATAATTAAAATTTCGCCTCTAATGTGCTAGATAGGCCACTGCCACAGACCTTCAGGGCTATCTAACTTCATTTCAATATATTGCACAAAGTTAGAAATAACTAAAACTGGAAAAAAATTTTAATCTCAGCTTCTCTCTGATTTCATTTTACAATATATTTTAATTCCAGTTTTGACACTGTGTGTGACCCAAGATAATTGAACAAAGAGCTATTTTTCTGTTCACCTTTCCCCCTCTACAAAAGCTTCATGCTTTAACAGTTCTACGTCACTGGGAAACAAGCTAACACGCAACGGGAGTTTTAACAAGTACAGGGTTCATATCTTGGAGAAGCATTTTCATACTGTGATTAAATTTGTATTCCCCCTAAACTGCGTTTTGTTTGAACTCCATGCCTTGTGATCCCGTTTCCTCCCGTTTTCTTGATGTCAGCTACTTCAGTGCTGGCAGAAGATCCCTCTGAACTGCAGCTGCATTTGTAAATGTTTCATCAAAGGCCTGAAGGTCTGGTAAGCAGCAGACCCGGTGGGTGCTACGAATGTGATCTGGGTCTATCTCGGGGAGGAACAGCATGACCGTATTTACTGCCGATGCTATTCTGGGGGCTGGATGACGTGCTTCTCCCCTCTGCCTGAGCAACACTTGCCCGTTCGTCTTTCAACACTCACTCCCAGCATGACAGGATGAAATAAAACAAAATTTACTGGTAGCAAGCGTACTTGCATATTGAAGACTTCCATTCTAACAGCTTCATGCACACTCACAGTCTTATTTCAATAATCACGTTAATAAGATTTTGTACTCTAGGTGGATACGATTTTAGGTTCCATTTAAAAAAATAAAACCATAAGAAGATAAAGAAAACTATTACCTCATAAAATAATTCAAATTATTATGGGGGCACAAGCTTATTTGTCCCCATAAATGAACTCTTAACTCAGGATGTGGCAACACAGTAGGCTCCAGCTCTGCACAGCACTTCCAAATGTGGACAGCAGCTGTGTGTCTCAAAAACTGTGAAAGTAGGGGGGAAAATGGTGTATTTGTTAAAGCAATTGTGCATGTAGCAATTGTGCAATTGTACAATTGTTAAAGCAAATGTGCACCTCTTCCAAAATCAGGCAAATAGTTTACAAACTGAAACTCACTCAATAGCCAGAAGAATGAGCCAGGCACTTCCAGTCATTGACTAAACCCAACCTATCTGTGCTAGACTTTGTAAGAGAAAGGAGGAAAAATTTTAAAACCCAAACAAGTGAAAAACACAACAAAATTTCTGATTAAAATAACATGCACATTTTTCACACTTAAAGGGTTATACTTTTTCCAATAGTTTTTTTTTTTAATCTAGAAACATGCCACTGACACCAAATGGCACAGAAAAGATCACTTTTTTTTTTTGTCTGTTAAACCTATACAACTCATTTTCAGCACTAGAACTGGAGAATCACAAAGTTGCATGGTGCCAGATTCATTCCCTTTCTGGTTACTGAAATTTAAGGTAAGAACATCCTGACATCATAAATTTTCAAAATTGGCTGAAATTTTTAAAATATTTCATTTGGCTCAATTTTGCAAATATGCAACCAGCTGGTAAAAATAAAATCTGATGTATAGTTTCGTTAGACAGAAACTGCAGTCTCAAATTTACATAAAACCAAAACTATATCCTTTTACAAGTGAAGACAAAACTGCAACTCTCAGCTTCTAACTTTAGCATGTTGTATCGCAGAAATAGTCCTCCAGCTCTGTTAATTTTTTTTTTTCAGGGCAGAACTTCTTATAAGCAAAAATAGCAGATAGATAACTGTGGGTGAATTAACATAATTTTTGCTATATTATCACATGAAATAAGAGAATTTCAAAATCAATTTTACTTCTCAAATTGGCTGAAAAAAAACTTTGTACCTAACATAATGAAATACCATGCAGGTTAATGACAACTTTTTTAATTAACAACCCAAAACAGCAACTAAGGTGATCTCTACAATGGTGATTTTAGGCATACCTACAAGTGAACAATTCAGTGATGAATACATGCCTAACTAAAAACAAATTATTATTCTGTAAGTCAATTACATTTATTATGCATTCAGACATAAGAGAACATCATATAATTGTTTTTCAAATACACTGTGTTATTAGGAAGACATACATTCCATGATTAGAGCAGACAGTGTCAGAGACATTTTCATATTCTGCAGAAATCTTAGACTAAATTCCACCATTACATACTTAATACAAAGTATAGGTGATTTACAAAAACTCAAATAATGGATAATTTTTCATAAAGGACCTTTTGTACAAGATCATAAACTTCTACATAAAAATATTTTACTTACTATGACAACTGCAGTTTCTAAAGAATGATATTTTGATAAAAATCCAGGTACATACAAAAAACTCAAAGTACATACAAAGACACAAAATCTGGTTTAGACTCCACCTAGAGAAAAGAAAGAAGAAAAGATTACCTTTAAACAAAACTTAAGGCTTAAAATTCTCCAAATCGTACAGTTTGTTTTTAGGAAAAAAATACTGCAGACACTAATTTATCCAATGTCTATCTTGTACTTGCCAGAAACACATAACACATCTTATTCACATGTAGAGCTGCAAACACAAACTCATGTGAATTCACCAAGAGCATAAAAACGGTTCTGCACGTGCACAACACAGACATTCAAAATTCTGCATTGTTGTTTGTGTCTTCCAAAGTGCAGATTCTAATCTTTAAGTGAAATTTCAGCGGACAAATAGAAAACCATTTTGCAGCACTGTGGTATTACAGTAAGTGCACTTGCTAAGAAAGCCAGTTTTCAAGATGCAGAGGGGGCTGATACTGTAATCCACACAGGGAAAGGGTTTCTTCATCATATAAAAACTTCATGACATTATGTTACAAACACTGAAATGGCCAACAGAAGAGAAGCAAATGAAGAATAAATGAAATCTCATACCAGCTGGGAGGTTTAATTCATTGGTTAGGCTGATTATGATGCATTAACCCATACTGTATTCTTTTATGTAAACTTAAATATCAAAACACATTGACGTATTTGTATTGACTTGTATGCTAGCTGTGGTGAGAAAAGTTTTCTTCCATGGCACAAATATTCCTGAAGAAGCTGAAGCAACTTATCAATAGAGTGCACTTCTCAACTCAGGCATATCAAGCATCTGTTTGTCTTTTACTGTTTTATCAAAAATCAGTTAGAGTAAGCCGCATTATCCTCACCAAAGTTTAAGCAGATTGAGGGAGTGGTTTTCTATTAATGGTCTTTGCAGCACAGCCTGCTTAGCCCTATGGTAATGTCCTCTAAAGCTCAATTCCTCTGTTGCAGACTTGTTAATGGAAACACATCTCAAAAGTGACTGTACTGTACCCAAAATATCCATATTGCCTTCAGTACCAAACAGCAAAACCCTCAGCTTTTGTACCTCTGGTAGCATTTGTCCTGTTTTCTCCATCATAAATTGAAAAAAAAAAAAAAACCAAAACAAGAAAAAAAACCCCCAAAACCAAAACAACACCAACAAACCCAAAACACTGTGATATTTAGAATGACAATGATTTTCAATTAATTTTGCAAACGGATTCACTCAGAAGAACCAATTATCTGAGGTGTAAGAAGCACCAACGCTAATTCATTGGTGAAATGCAACAGTTGTTCTGATCCAGTACAGCAAAACAGGAGTGTGACATCAGCCAAAACCTTCAAAAGGTCTTTTAAAATTAGAAACATCATATCTAACTGCTATTTTAACATTAATTTATCACCACTCGATTTTAAAAAAAAATCCATTTTTATAAGAAAAAAACAAAGAAATTCACATGACATCCCATGTTAAGACAAAATTAGTGAATGCAGACAGACATACAGCCTCATTCTTATGTCTGATAAAATCTACCTGATAAAATCAAGGCAGATCATAAGGAACTCCAAGCTCCAGGGAGTAGCTGAAGAACTGTGATCCCTATGGAAGCTGGGATGGGTGCCTTCTTTGAGGTGTACTCACCATTGCAAAGGTCTCCTGGTGTGACCTGCAGAGCTCTGGTCTCCTTCACTGGAGTCACATGAGACAGAAACACTGCAGAGCTGTCTGTCTGGCGAAGGAATTCTCTTTACCAGAGCTCTCTGAAGGTCTGTAATCACTGGTGATGAAAATGCTAACTAATAAAGGAGGATTTTAAATTAATAAGTGGACTAAAACATGGCAAAAAGCCTAGATCTCTGGGAAGATATAAGTGGTATAAGAACTCTCAATAGAGGTATTCATAAAAATAGCACTATGGTGAGCAGGAAGGCCAATGAACTTTTGTTTCCTAAGGTATTACAGCAGCATGTATGAAAATTATTCCATTCACTAGCTAATTTACATGAAAATTACTGGAGAAATTAAAATCTCAAAATAATGCTATTCCTACAACTTAAAAATAGCAAAGCCACAAAGTATACATTCAGGCAAAAGAGGTGCTTTGCACATCACTAACAAATAAACATTAAACAATACAAATTCTTACCTGATGTGAGAGTTAATATGAATCCTCCAGACAATTAGAAAAGCTTCAATCAGGTTTTGGTCCTCCTCAGGCACCTTGGAAATCTGTAGGACATGGCAATGCAGGACTCAAGAGCTTTGGGTGCTGCTGCTAGATCATCAAAGCACAGAACAGGATGAACATGGGGGACTTCAACAACCAAGAGACCTGTTGGGAAGGTCCTACAGGATCATTACAGTACAAAATCATAGAATGGCTTGGGTTGGAAGGGTCCTTAAAAGACCACCCAGTTCCAACATCCCTGCCATGGGCAGGGGCACCTTCAACTAGACCAGGTTGTTCAGAGCCACTTCCAACCTGGCCTTGAACATTTCTCAGGACGGGGAGCCCACAGCTCCTCTGGGCAACCTGTTCCAGTGCCTCACCAACCTCACAGTAAAGAATTTCTTCCTATATCTAACTTAAACCTACTTTCTTTCAGTTTGAAGCCATTCCCCCTTGTCCTGTCACTACATACTCTTTTAGGTAGTCTCCGTGCTTCTTGTAGCCTTTCCTCAGGTACAGAAAGACCGCTGTACAGAGCAAAGTTTTGTTATTGAGCAGATATGTGACTACAAATCAAATCTGGAATATCTCTTCTTTATTAATCAACAGCAGGCAAACTGACTGAAAGTGCAAGACTGAGGGGAACTTGGGTGAAAGATTATGGGGAAAATGTTATTTGTAATTCCTAGAAAAAGAGAATGGAATTACAAACAAACAAGGTGAACAGTAAAGCTGGCAGCTTTTCTGTATGCTTTCAATTGCATTAGGGCAATTGTTTGCATAGATGTTCTGCAAACAGAGCAAAGGATTCAGCTTTAAGAGCAAAATAAAAATAAATCTTTCTGCTGGATTATTTTTAAGCTGGATTGGTTTCCTGATCCAAATCACAGCTCACTGAAGAAACAGTTGTGCTGGCAGCACAGAGGGTTGGGGGCATGAGAATATCTCAAACCAGTGTCTGCCAAGACTGCCCTGTAAAAAAGACAAACTTAAGATTTGCTCTGTAAAAAAGAAACTTAAGATTTGCTCTCTACTAGGTTTTATTTTATTATAAAGTCCAAAGAGAGAAATCTGTAAATGTAATGTGAATATAATGTGAAAATAGTGTGAAGGGCATAAACAGAAACTACCTCGATGAAAAGGGAAAATAAGATGGGTATCATGAGATAAACTTGACTAAATCGAGAGCTCTTCAAAGGTCCTGAAACACTAGAAGGAAGCATACACAAGTAAAAATTAGGTCAGATTTTTTGGGAAGGGAATTTTAGGGAAGAGTGCAAGTATGTAGGGGCAAAATCAGAAAGGCCAATTCACAGAATGAGTCTTAGTTAGGAACAGAAAAGGAAACTGAGACAGCCCTAGAGGAGGACGGCGAAGGGAAGGGCTGTGCTGCTGCTCAATGGGGAGAAAAAGCTTTCAGCCACACCAGTGAGATAAACCAAAGTGCTAAAAGCTTTTCTGTTTCAGCCTTCACTAAAAGAGATGTTATGTATTTTGACTTCAGTAAAGCTGCTGATGTTTGTTAAATGTGATCTAAGTAAAGCTGTAAGAGACTAGACATTGTTTATATTTATTAAGTTATTAATGGTTATTAATCATTAAGTCACAAGCCTGAAGGATGTATGAAATGCTAAATTTGTACCAAAGGCTTTAATATTCAATACCTTCATGAATAACTTTGATCTTGGAAGAGTTCAGTTATTGCACATGCAAATGTGCAAACTGTTAAAAACCTGTGAGGAACTGCAATGTGGAATTAAAACTGAAAATTAACTTAACTTGGGAGTATAATCTCAAAGCGGAAAAAAAGAGAGTGCTGGTGAAAGCCTGCTAAGTGAAGCTCAACTTCACTAATAGAAAGTGGGAAGCAACTAGTTAAATAGTATTCTATGGGAAAGGATTAGGACAACAGTAAACCACAAACTGAAGATGCGTTTTTACACATCATCTTGTTGTGTGGAGGAGAACAGAACCATCACACTACTGATTCCTTGCACCAGTGTAAAAAGAATAACGTCTTTTGGGAGTCACACAGAATCATGCTATTTTAATATGACACAATATTAGCCAAATAGTGTGGTTTGTATTTGAAATCAGACTTTAGCAACTAATAACAAAACACAATTAGATAAAGTCCAGAGAATAGCAACTGGTACAATCATGAGGTCTACAAGAAAATAATGCATCACAGAGCCTCCTTAGGCTAAAGAAAAATGCTCAAGCAAGCCATCTTAAGAAATGGGAATTTGCTCCAAAGGGGAGATCCATAAACCTTTCCCATCTTCCCCAAGGAAACAAGACTTGAACTACAGCAGTTGCACAATTCCTATCACCATTTCGGAAAAATTTACTTGGGATATATCTGATTTTCTAGGTATACTCCTATAACAATAACCTATATAATGTGAATGCTAATTTAGGGCAATCACTGATATGACACTTTTCCTCATATCAAATGTTATAAAATAAAATACATAATAAGTTATATTTTTTTTTCTTTATAAATTGATTAAGGTATAGTGATTCACTCATTTTTGTTCTGTAGATATATATAAAAAACCCCAAACCCAACACAACTCCAAATGTTGATAAGATCCAGGAACAATATATCATATTTTTTCCACTATAATAAAATATTGTAGTATCTTTATACTTTAAAAAAAATCTTTTCAACACACTGTACCTTATTTGAATAGAGATTTCTGTTACTGTTAAAATAACTTCAGAGACAAAGGTGCTCAACATAAATGCTGCATTTCCTTAAAAAAATAAACTGCATTTTTATAACAAATCTAATTCAGTTGCTTGGAACAATGCTGAAAATAGAAGTCTGGGTACAGAACATACTCATCTTGTTTTCAAGTTAGAAGAGGATCTGTATTTTTGTTTTTTTCTAAGCTTTATCAGCACTTTTGCAAAGAAAATAATAACTGTATTCACTGAGTAAGCACAATATCTCTGGAATTAAATATACTGTCTTACTGACTAGGTCTCAGCTTCAGCTGTGAGGCAGAACTGACACTGATACACCTAGGAGAGCAGATTCATAACACAGCATTGCTCAAATATTATAGCAGATTTTAAAAAACAAACAAACAAAATAACCCAAAAAAACTCTAGAATTACTGTTTCAGTATTTACACTAACTTACATGGATTTACAGTGTATAAGAAAAAAGTGTTATGCTCCTGTTCTAAAAGTCACACAAAATTATTTGTGTTAAAGTTATACAGAACTATGTTTAAAAAGTCTAACACAGACTCCAGACACAAAACTTGGTAAAAAAGTTGTGGCTGTTCCTATGGAGCCAGAAAAGACCTATTTGCCTTTGAAATTTCTACACTGTGAGTTTTGTACTACCTTTACTTCTGTATTTCTGCCTCCCACACAGCAGTTTTGTGTGTGAACCCCTCCAATACAACGTGTGAGGCGTGCAGCTCATCAGTGAAACATCCTGCCTCCATTCTGCAAAACACTTGAGAACAGACTTCAGAGCTTTGCTTTATTTGAGCACAGATATCTTGCAGATGTTTAATTTAAAGCTCATGTGTAGTCCCACTGAAGTAAATGGGATTACTAAAGTACTTAAAGTAATTCCCTGCTGAATCAGGCCTTTAAGAGCAAGAATAAATGTGCCTAATTTTTATTCATGCATCAGATATCTATAGACTAATAGTTTAAACTCAGCAGTTTTGTATCCAGTTAATATTAAATGTCTGGAGTTAGTGTGTCTTCACCTGCTGCATCTACCATCCCTACAGCAAGGACCTTTTTAAATAGAACCCTGCAGCACAGGTTTTTGCATACATACTGTGTCATTAGGCACTCATGTTTTGCATACATATAGTGTCATCAGACCTGGTGCTGTTATGACTTTTTTGTAAATAATAAATAAACTGCACCTGGTCCTTGTATTTTTTGAGTGTTACATGCATGAAAGATTTCAGAAAAGAACTCTTGTAACTTAGATTTAAAAAGTAGTGGAAGTAATTCCATTTACTTTGGACAAAAGAGAAACTTTCATATATCTGTAACTGCTTACTTCCTGCATCTATGAAGTTGCAGAATAATTATTAATTTAATTCTGGGAAGAAGCAAAGGAAGGAAAATCTGTGGATCTAAGGTATTTAACGTATACATGCTAAAGGTTGCATATGAACGTTACTCGTGGCTAGAAGCAAATATGACGTGGCCTGAACTAAAGCTGAGATTTGTCCATGCAAAGTCTATCTGCAAAAAAAGAAAACCCAACCAAAAAACTAAATAATAAATCTACAGCTTCATCAGTAATGAGGCACCTGTGGCTTCTTACATCATCAGACCTGGCTAAGTGATGCTGGGAGTTCTCTGCAAAGCACTTTTATTCTCACATCTATTAAAATGTATCCCCTGCTAAAAGTAAAATAAGAGAAGGCTGGCAGTGATGAATTCATCTTGTCATCAAGCATCAAGTTCATTTAAACTGATCACTTCATTTAAATAAGTACACCTGGAAATATCAACCACATGCAAAATTACCACTGATTTGCAGGTCACTAAAAAAGGACCCACTGACACACACGTGATAACAAGAAAAATAATATGATTCCTTTCTGAAATTTTCATTGTTCATCTCTGGCCCACCTGATCTTGTTGGTTCAGCTAATGTAGTATTAAAACCTGGAAAATTTAAATCAAGGGGGTAAAACAGAGGACTAATAGGCAAATGCCTATTTAATTTTTGCAATCTTCTACTGTACAGATGTAAGAACCTAAGGCAGCCCCAATTAGCTATAGGTTTGGGATACCCTAAGAGACAGAATATCAACAGCTTTAAGGATAAACAATTCATTGCTAAGTAACAGTACAGTAATCCATCAGGGGTGCAATTACCCAAGTCTTTACAACAGCAAATTCGGTTACTCACCAATACCAAGCCAAAAGCGATACCCAGCTTGGCAAAGGACTTGCACAACCATGATTACTGTCTAGGCCATCGGGCAGAGCGACACAGCTGGTCCTTCAAAGAGACAGCAGATCCACAGAGGAGCTGGGTAAATCTCCCATTCCCTCATCAGACCCACCTCTTCCACTGCCAAGGTGCACTGTCTGGATTTGCTAATTCATT